ACTTACCGCCTTACCCTACTCTCGACCTTTGTGTCTGTCTCTTTTACATCTTTGAAACACTCTTCCGTTCCCCCCCCCCTCTCGACATTTTTTCACTTTGATGATAACTATCAAAACGCCTGCCATTTGATATAGATATTTTGTAATAAACCTGTTCTGTGTAATGCGTCTCTTTCCACTCTAGCTTTGCTAGTTCAGGGAGTCTAGCCAGATATAGTGGATACTGCCATAGAGATTTCTGAGTCGGTCAAGGCTTTACTAGTGTAGCAGTCCGCTATAAATGGATGACCCTGACGTGATTGCCTAACTTCAATCGCTCAGCAGAGAAACAATCTCTCACTTGCACTACATTTTTTCCTTATAGTGCTCAACGCTCTCGGTGTTCCTACTCGAACGATCACCTTATCGACCCTCCAACTCTGTATTCTTATCGACTCCTATTCTCCTTCTGCACATAACCGTCCCACATCATGTCCAAAGAAGCAGACTCTGTCTCATCCAGTATCATTTCGGGCTGCCCAACCTTCAACTCAGAATGTGCAGCAATCTGGCTCGTTCAATTCGAGAATATGCTCAAAATAAAGGGCATATCAAAGCGAACAAACTAATTTGTTCATTTGACGGTAACTTTGCTGAGTAATATCCTCCAACCATTTCGGGACTTGGTGACCAAAACGCCGGTTAGCAACTCGTATGACCGGCGCAAACAAGCAATCATTAGCTAACTTTCTGTTCCTAAGGAAAAACGGATTTAAAGCCTTTTCACGGAATTCGAACATGGTGATGGATCATCGTATCAACGCCTACGCCATATTCATTCTCTAGTCGGCGACAACGAATTGCCCATCGGAATCCTTTGAGAACTTTGGTTAAATCGACTTCCCGAAAACCCGGTCACACAGCTAATGACTAATCCTTATCAAGATGATCTTAATAAATTGACTGAAGTGGCTGATCGCGCCCACCGACGTCGCAGTAATTCTAGCGTCAATGTAGTAAAAACTTCAACCGCAGCTGATACCGTAACACAGCGGTTGGACGATCTCACGGAGCAATTCCAAGAGCTAAAATCACTTATTTCGGGCTCCTCTCCGTACCGCAGCAGGTGAAGTTCTTTCTCACCTAGAAGACGCCGGAGTTCGTCAAGAAAAGGAGCCATGATTTTTATTACCAGCGCACTTACGGGGACAACGGTAAGAAATGTACCCCTTGGTGCCAATACTGCAGCCGCAAACAACGCAGTCTGTCGGGAAAGCATCACGCCAGGCAGCAAAGGCGACGACTGATTCTGGCCATTCCACCAGTCGGCTGTTATGTATCACCGAAAGAAATTACCGACTCATGTTCTTAGCGGACACCGGGTCCGAGGTCAGCTTTACTCCTCACTCCGCAGAAAAACGCTGCCTACAACCCACCCCGGGGGTCCACTTCTGGCAGTCAACAATACACAGATTCCTATTTACGGACAAAAGTTCTTCAGCCTGGATCTAGGACTTCGTCGAGAGTTACCAATTGTGTTTCTGATTGCAGACGTCAGAAAGCCTATTATTGGTGCTGACTTCCTCTCTAAGTTCTGTTAGTCAACCTCAGAGACAACGCTCTTCAGGTCAACGTCACATCCTTGCAAGTGGTTGGCTCTACAGAGTCCTTAGATTATTTAGATTTGAAAGTCCTCCTCCCAGTAGATAACCCATTCACAAACATTTTGTCTGAATTTCCCTCCACTTTCCGCCTTCAATCGAAGGTATTGGAGCCAAAGCCTAACATCAAATAAGCACCAAAGGACAACCGGTTCCTGCGTCTCGACAAACTGCGTGCGGATAAACAGGAATTCTAACACATGGTCACCTTAGGCATCGTTCGTCCTTCAAACAGCCCATAGGCTTCTCCTTTGCACATGGTCGATTTAAAATTAAACCCCACTTATTATAGTCGAACAAAGGTAATGTAAGGCCAGTTTATGGTAACGACTAACACATTCTGCCACTCTAACAAGAGTAGATGCGACAGAATTGAATGAACGCGTTGTTATGGTCGAAATATCGCGATCGTCAATTCAACAGTAGACGAATTCGCTGTCTTATCAGTGTATGGATGGAATAGTCAAAACTTGTTTACAGCAATTTGATGATACAAATAAATTAAATAATACCTAAAAAGAAAACTAGACTAATTTCACAGTTCAGTTAAAATTCATCCCCCAATGCAGAGGAAACATAGAAGAAGAAATGTTTGTGTGATCGATCAAAATAAATATAACGTGGATGATTCATAACTTTTCATAAGTTTCAGTCATTAAGTCAGCAACAAGTTTCTCCACATTTTCAAGTCGGGATTCAGCTTCGACCAGTGAATTTAAAATGGACAGTTAAGGAAAATTTTGATGACGTAACAGTTTAATTCAAATAAAAAGAACTATTTCAATTAAATTCTTTAAAAGATAATACACAAGAATGATGAAGCCATTTTTAAACATTAGAGGATATGCTTAGATATCGTTTCTTCACTTTGTGTTGCAATCTTTTTGTGAATTTCATGGAAAGCGGTTTCAATCTTAAAGATTATGTCAAATGTGATCTTACTGCTGCTTTGAATTCTGGGAGTGTTGATGGGTTAATGGCAACACTGGTCCCACTGGAAGACATTTTAAAATAACGCAGGCGTCTTTTATTACAAAGATCATTGGTCAAAACGCATTAACATAACTATACAGTTTTCCGTTTATAATTTAAATAAACTCCCTTTTTGAACTTTATTTTAGTCAAATTTTAGGATTAAAAGAGCTAAAATTTACAAATATTATGTGAAAAGAATGATATCTGGTTAAATATAAATTGATACCATACGTAATCTCAAAATGCCTTCAGCATGAATAATTGTTCGATAATTTCTAAGCATATTTTTGGCAAAAACATAACGTAATAGGTAGATAAAATTAAATTAAATTACGTTTTGGTCCTACGATTAACATATTAATGGCCGAATTGAAAAGATTCTTAGCATTATTCAGTTCCATCATGTTCTAATTACTGTTGCAACTGGAAATTTATCTCATCATTTAACCTATTAGTTACCCATCACGTTTAATGAATGCCTTATTTGATGGCTAGTACTTTGAAAGTAACATTGTAGAATTGAATTATGGCATCCAAGGGGACAGTTGACTGGCAGATTTGCCACAGACAGCTTAAATCCTCCCATTGTCCGGCGATCAATAGGAATTATTTAGCGAAAAAATTCGAATCGAGGCATTCATAGGCAATTTAACTATACGTCTACGTGCATTTGCACAAAAAATCCTTTTAACTCCTACTTTGGTAAAAGCATTATTTTTGTCGATATTTCATTTCAGGAGATAACAATTTCATTAATGATTTAATAAATAATGCGATGTGCGAATTACTCTATTAAAAATAAACAAAATTTTCTAATAATATTTTGAAAATATAAGCATATTCATTGATACGCTAAGTTAATTATCATGTTAAAATATTTAAATCAAATTATGTTTGAGAATTGGAACGAGTTATTGAGTATGTGATATTTATGCGCATTTTGAAAAGACAACAATAATGATAATTTTTGATTATACTAAATAGAATGATTCATTTGACCTTGACAATAATTCCATATAAAACGAAATAGCTCTATCCTCGTACGGTTTGTGCCTTAATTTATCAGAGTGTGTTGTGTTTTTTAAGGCAACGAGAATTTAATTTTTGGCATTTAGATTATACAACGAGTATATTGCATTAACCTAAAGTGAACTTTTAGACATTTTCTCTTTTTTCTAGTTTTCTTTTAACTACATTTAACGAGGTAACGAGCTAATCCGCTACAACATAAAAAAATGTTCCGTTATATAATGCGCTTTAATCCAACGTGTGCTAACCAACTACATAGATGTAAGATTAGTGGATTCAATTATTTTTATAAACAGTGTACTCCGTTTCGGAGGGAATTGTTAAATTTGATCCGAATATCAGTGTGAAAACTCTGAAAATTATTCAAACTGAGCCTAGGGGTGCTCAATTGTTCGACGTTCGCGATCCGAATGAACTTGAAGAGGATAATAGACTACCCGGAGCCGTAAATATTCCTCGTGAGTTTACTGACAAATGTCCGAATTAATTTTTAAATAAAATTTTTTCTGATTTGCCTTTTATTTAGTTGATGATATTGAAATGGCCTTCACTTTGGACGATGCTGATTTTCAGGCAAAATATGGAGTTCCAAAGCCTAAACCGAGTGATGATAACCTCGTCTTTTCCTGTCGAGCCGGCCGGCGGAGCTTAATTGCTTGCGAAAAAGTTCAAAATCTTGGATATGAAAAGTATGTCATATGTATCGAATTAATTAGTGATACTGCCTTATTTTAATTACTGGAGCTTTGTAATAAATACAACCTTGATTCGGAAACGTGAATTTGCAGATGATTTAGCTCACTCAGTTTGCTTTTACCCTAAAGTTCAGGTTCATTAGTGAATGTGACGCTAATATTTGATATAGGCTAAAGGAAGTTATTCTGTAGTAGTGCTAATGAAAAGTCTCATCCATTCCAGTTACTCAGAAATAGCCAGTGCAGTACGCCAATGATCATCGGTCTCATGACCTCTTACTATGGGAAACTGCTTGTAGCCCATTGAACTGTTTTATTTCCTTTGAAATTACACAATCTGACATTTTTAACCTAAGGACAGGAGACTGAAAGTTACATATTGCTTAAATTTTCAATTTTTCATCAAGAGCTCTTTTAATTGCGTTTCTATGTGCACAGTGAACTTCGCATTTTGAACTGGAAAAAAAGACGCAATATTTAACATGTGTTCCCTTTGTGATGCTCACTGACATTTACCTGCTTAACGGCATTATTAGATTAATTGACACTAAGCAAGATTTGTTAATATCTGTGCCGCAAGAAAGGCTTAATTTATCTAAATTTGTTTAAAATTGCTTTTTACTATTTTAGGCCACTTAACCTTGAAGGTGGCTTCTTGGAATGGAAGAAAGAGTCAAATCAATAATCTCATAACTTTTTCTTGACACTTTTTTAAAATTGTCTTTACGTTGGATTGTGTGTTAGAGATTTTCAGGTATCTATGTCCGCCTGTCGCTTTGAAATAAAAATCGTGGATTTGTTATTTGTATTATTCAATGAAGAATAAACTAGATCTGGCTCTTTATTTGCTAATGAACAATTGAAATATTGGTTATCTCAAGACTGCCTGAATTTAATCCTTTCATTTCTATTACCAGATCATAAGTGTCTATCCACCAAAGAGTTCTAAATGGGATAGCTTTCCTTGTAGTCAACTGAAATTGAATTGGATTATATGATTATGCCTGTTGATTAATATTAGCAGAGAAATAAGTGACAAAACGTGGGTTTGTATTCATATGGTATTCAAATGTGCTGCTCCTTTGTTGAAAGTTCCTCTTCAGAAAATTTTGGAAGTATTGCCTTAAAAAATAATCATGTGGAATCTATTCATTCCTTCACTTTCAAATCATAGTAATCGTCAGGTTTATTATGTAACAAGGAGCTGTTTTGCGCGTCATTTTGACAGGCGATATTTTTTCCGAAGCCTTTCGTTAGAAAAGTGACAATTCTAAGCGAAACTTGTAAATATATTTATGAGTGAGAAAGAATAACCACTTGTCATTTAAATTCACCGAACTTCATGAATAACTCGAGCTAACGAACTGTAAAATTTATTTATTTCGAATGGCAGGATTTATGATATTTATCATTAGCCCTTAAACTTTGACTTCAGCTTCCCCCAAGGGTGGGGGG